CGATAAAAGTGGCGAAATCTAGCTATTTTGCCACTCTTATCGCATCATCAGATAACCGCCCAGCCACCCTGTTTAGGGTGACCCGCTCCCTTCTCCATCTGGGAGCGCGGGAGGACCCCTTGGAGGGCCAAGCTGAGGACTTTGTACAGTATCTGGATGATAAAATAACTCAGATTCGGGAAGACTTGGCCGCCGACTGGGTTAGTTCAGATGAGATGACTGAGGCAGGCCTTGAGAGTGTTATCTGGGAGGAGTTCGATCCTGTGGCTCCCGAGGATGTGGACAGGATCTTGGGATGGCTGAACGCGACCACATGTTTATTGGACCCGTGTCCTTCCTGGTTGGTGCTGGCTTCCCGGGAGGTTACACGAGGCTGGCTCCAGGGGATTATCAATGCTTCTTTGAGTGAGGGTGTCCTGCCGGCCGCCTTGAAAGAGGCGGTGGTGAGGCCTCTCCTCAAGAAGCCATCCCTGGATCCGGCTGTTTTGGCTAACTATCGTCCAGTCTCCAACCTTCATTTTATTGCGAAGGTTGTTGAGAGTGTGGTGGCACGACAGCTTCCCCAGTACCTAGATGAAGCTGTCTATTTGGATCCGCTCCAGTCTGGCTTCAGACCTGGGTATAGCACGGAAACGGCATGGGTCGCGTTGGTGGATGATCTCTGGAGGGCCCAGGATAGGGGTTATTCCTCTATCCTGGTCCTATTAGACCTCTCAGTGGCTTTTGATACCATCGACCATGGTATCATGTTGCGCCGGCTGGAGGGACTGGGAGTGGGGGGCACCGTTTTGCGGTGGTTCTCCTCCTATCTCTCCGACCGGTCGCAATCCATGTTGACAGGGGGGCAGCGGTCGACCCCAAGGCGCCTTGTCTGTGGGGTGCCACAAGGGTCAGTCCTCTCACCCCTCCTGTTCAACATTTATGTGAAGCCGCTGGGTGACATCATCCGTGGTTTTGGGGTGGAGTTCCATCAGTATGCTGATGATACTCAGCTATACATTTCCACCCCAGACCATCCCAACGATGCCTTGGAAGTGATGTCCCAGTGCCTGGAGGCCGTGCGGGTCTGGATGGGGAGAAACAGGCTTCGACTCAACCCTTCCAAGACTGAGTGGCTGTGGCTGCTGGCGTCCCGGTATAGCCAGCTGACACCATCGCTGGTTATTGGGGGCGAATCATTGGCCCCCACGGAGAGGGCCCGCAACTTGGGTGTCCTCCTGGACGCACGGCTGTCTTTAGAAGGGCACATGACGGCCGTGGCCAGGGGGGCTTTTTATCAGGTTCGCCTGATACGCCAGTTGCGCCCCTTTCTGGACCAGGACTCCCTATGCACGGTCACTCAAGCACTCGTCACCTCTCGTCTGGACTATTGTAATGCTCTCTACATGGGGCTCCACTTGGGGTACACCCGGAGGCTCCAACTGGTGCAGAATGCGGCCATGCGGGGGATTATGGGAGCGACAGGGCGCTCCCATGTGACTCCTCTCCTGCGCGAGCTGCATTGGCTTCCAGTGGACTTCCGGGTGCGCTTCAAGGTGTTGGTGATCACCTTTAAAGCGCTCCATGGCTTGGGGCTGGGGTACTTACGGGACCGCCTTCTGCCACCAATAGCCTCCCACCGGCCAGTTCGCTCCCACAGAGCGGGAGAGGGCCTCCTCAGCGTGCCGTCGGCCAGACAATGCCGGCTGGCGACCTCCAGGAGGAGAGCCTTCTCCTGTGGTGGCACCTACCCTTTGGAACAATCTACCCCCAGAGATACGAGTGATCTCCGACCTCAGGACTTTTCGTCGGGCCCTAAATCTTACTTTTTTCAGTTAGCCGGTCTGTCTTGATTTTAGGGTTGGTTTTTAAAATTTTGATACTGATTTTAAATTGACAAATTTTAAATTATGGGCCAAATTTATTAATTATTTTAAATCTGTTTTTAATTGTAATGTTATGTATAAATGTTTTTATTTTGGCTGTTCACCGCCCTGAGTCCGAAAGGAGAAGGGCGGTATAGAAGTTTGAATAATAAAATAAAATAAATAAATTAAGATCCAATATTCCTCTCCTCCAGATAATCTCCATGAAGCTTCAGGTCCTAACACAGACCTTGTTTTTTTTTCCTTTTGGTCACCCCAAGCAAAAGGTTCTTTGCCCCCTCCTGCATACACACACAAGGGTTGTGTGTGTATGTGTGTGTACATGTGTGGGTGGATGGGTAGGAATGTATGCCTTTGACTCCTTGTTGACTCATGGCTGTGCAAGTCACTGCAGTTTTCTTGGCAAGATTTTGAAAATGATTTGCCTTTGCCTTCTTCCTAGGGCTGAAACAGAGTGGGCCAAGGTTACCTAGTTGACTTCATGCCCAAGGTCAGACTAGAAATCATAGTCTCCCAGTTTCTAGCTTGCTGTCTTAATCACTGCCCCAAACTGTTCCAAGTTACCTACCTCCATTTCTTCTTTCTTTCTTTCTTTCTTTCTTTCTTTCTTTCTTTCTTTCTTTCTTTCTTTCTTTCTTTCTTTCTCTCTCTCTCTCTCTCTCTCTCTCTCTCTCTTTCTCTCTCTCTCCTTCCTTCCTGCCTGCCTTCCTTCCTTCCTTCCTTCCTTCCTTCCTTCCTTCCTTCCTTCCTTCCTTCCTTCCTTGGAACATCTCAAAGAAACAACTGCTGTCTACCCACACTGTCCATATGAAATCAGAAACATACAGAGGAATAAAGCTCACCATTAGAAGAAAAAGCTTCATCCTGAAGTAGCCTCAGCTGTCCAACATCTAATTCCAACTGCATTCGAATGATTTTTTTTAGTATAATAGGGCAAAGCTCTTTGGGTTATGTCTGTAGGCAACATAATGCAATTTCTTCTAATATTTGCTTCCTATTTTGTCCCATTTTCTACATATCTACATGGTTCTTGGGAGAGGCCATTCTGGGGTTGAATCACATTAAAATTCTAACAATAGAAACGTTCTTCTCTCTGCTTCAATCTTGTGAATGAACCTAATTTGAACTTATTTGGGATATTCTGGGTTCAGAGGTTGTTTTCAGTTGATAGCAATGGTCACCAATGCCTTTGACCAGTGCACTGTCTTTGAGGTAAAAAACATCTGGCTGCTGATTCAAGACTTCATCACCTCTCATTGAGAAGTACCTTTGACTTTGTTTTTGGAAACAGCTTCTGCCAAATGTAGAAACTGGTTTTGTAAGGCACATTAAGTTTGCTTGGATTAACTTCCCTGCCCCCACTTCCCATTGTAATTCAAGATTTTGTAGAAATTGCAAGACACCTGCAATGTCTTCTTCAAGCATTCTAAGATATGTCAGGAATGTCTACAGGATGTGATTTTAAAAAAGGTCAAGATGATGACTGCAATAGTTTGAGTGAAGCTCAACACATACCAAACAGGTGTACTTTTGATTGCATTGCCATGACCATCATCTTCACTTTTTTATCATAACCCAAGGACACTCTTGAATATGCAAAGGATCTGCCCCATAAGTCTCTGAGAGAGGCTATGTTGATTTGCAGTACTGCCTTCCTCTCTTTCCATGGTAGGAAAGTCTCTTCTGCGCTACTGGACTGTTCACTCTATGGCTATGTGTAATGTTAACATTTTAGGGTTTGACTCTTCAATTTTACTGGCTTTAGATTTACTCCACAGCAGCCAATAAGTAGAGGCTGAAGTTAGGGAGTTGGATAGATTGCTGTTGTTGTTTTCTTCAACAAAGCCCCACACTTATTCAATGCACTTGTTGGGTTTCCGAAAAAGGTGCCTTAGTCATGATGATATGTAATATGTAGCAGTTTGCATAATGCCAGATGAGATATTACCTACACTCTGTGCTCCCAGTTTCCAAGATGAGGTTGCTGCTGCCTTGATTTTCTGGCAGCCCAACTGCAAGCTTTGTGGTTCTTGGCAAACTATGACCAAATCCATCTACAACTTCCCCTCTTCTTCTTCTCTCATGGAAACTCAGTGTGTACATTTCCATTGCTTTCCTGCTCAACTTTACTAACTCACCTGCTTGGCCCCAGTTCAAACTCCACACCTATCTGAATTGCATAAGAGCTCCTGGGGATACAGGGTGAGCCAACTCCTCCTTTTCAGGCAGGGCCAATGAACAGCAACCATCCGATATCTCCTCACTGTCTTTAGCCAACCATAGGGCCCATGAATGATGAGCTGCTGCATGTGTTTTATGCATTCTGTTCATTCATAGGGATGGTGAATGTGTTCAGATCACAAAACTCCACACCCTCAATTGGGTTCAGGGTTGGCTGTTGCTGCCAAAGGCATAATAGCTATGTATTTGCTGTTCTCTTTCAGTTTGGCTTCATGGAGATAACAGAGTTATTGGCTTCCTCCAGGCTTCCTCCAAGAGTGGCTCTTGATTTTGTGGTAATAAGGAAGTCTTGGATTACTCTGCACTGGGGAAGCTTTTAAAATGACTGGAAATCCATTCATTTCTCCACATGCTAATAATGCATGATTCATCTACGTTTTAATCATGACTTCTGCACTGTACAGGAGAATGGAAAGGCCTCCATGACCCAACAGTATTTCCAAGTGTCTTTGCTTGACTGATGATGGCCAAATCTGGCTCTAGGTTCTGCCTCAGCTTTACCTTTTCCAATAAATAACTGAATCAGAAGATTGTTTAAAAGCAGTTTATTACTCTGATAAAAGTGGGGTCTTCATATAAAAAAGGAGAATCAAGATAAATGGCTTACATTTACTTTTACAGTTAGAACAAGAAAGAACTTCAAATAAAAATTTGATTGGTTTAGAAATAGTCATCTGTCCAGTTACATCACACAAATTAAAGCATCCAATAATATGCCATAGAAAAGATAATTGTATTCTAAGTAAAAGTAAAAGAAACATGTTAATGCTGGATGGATCTAACCCAATAACTCATAGGAGACAATGGTATCTCTTCATTGATTCTTTATTCTAGGCCTGGAGTCCTCCTAGGCCCAATTCAGGGTAAAGGTCACTGACCTCTGACTTGTCTTTGCAGGTACACATCTGGAACTGCTGGATGCCCACGTGTAGGACCCTTTTATACACCAGGGGAGGAGTCTGAGGTAAGTGGGTATGATGGGATATGGGGAGGTGCCAGCCCCCTGCCTGGGAGAATTAGACATTTACCCTGACAAATCCCCCTCTAAATGTCTAATTAACGGCGGACATATGATATCTGTGAACATACATGTTAGGTACATAAAACACATGATCTACATATATACACATATTTTTAATGTGAGATATGCGTGTTGTTTTTGAGGTAGTGGCTTTGTGAGTATGTCTGCTGTTTGTTGTTCAGTGTCACAGTATATGGCTTTAATGAACCCCATTTCTGAGAATTGCCTAACGTGTTTATATTTTATGTCTATGTGCCTTGATCTCTGTCCCACGGCATCTGCTTTTGATATTTCTATAGCTGCCTTGTTGTCTTCATGTATGACTATGGGGTATGTTGGTTCGGCCCAGATGTCAGTAAGTAAATCATCAAACCACACTAGGTTATTTGCGGCTTTTTATAAACAGACAAATTCGGCTTCGGTGGTAGAAGTGGCCACCAGCTTCCGTTTTTTTTTTTTTAATTAGATTTATATGCCGCCCTTCTCCGGAGACTCAGGGCGGCTTACAATGCATTAAGCAATAGCCTTCATTCTTTTGTATATTTTATACAAAGTCAGCTTATTGCCCCCACAATCCGGGTCCTCATTTCACCGACCTTAGAAAGGATGGAAGGCTGAGTCAACCTTGAGCCTTGGAGAGATTCAAACCAGCAGAAATTGCAGGCAGCTGTGTTAATAACAGGATGCACTAAACCATTGTACTATCAAGGCTCTTACCGTATACCAATGTATAGGGCAATTGTTTAAGAAGACTACGTACCTGGAAGTGCTTTTTCTGCTTTTGGCATCCCCGGCCCAGTCAGCGTCTGCATAGCAGGTTAACTTGGGTTTCTCAGACAGGTCTGGTTTGAGGCACAGCTGGGTGTTGGCACTGTGTTTCAGGTACCTGAGCAGTCTTTTTATGGCATCCCAGTGCAGGACAGTGGGCTTGCTCATGTGTCTGGACAGTAGATTGACAGCCAGAGCGATGTCAGTTGGCGATGTAGAGTAGCGAGCTTATTGTTGACCTGTACAGCTTGTTGTCAACGAAGGGTTCACCTTCATTGTACATGCTTCTTATGAAGTCCGGTTGCATTGGTGTCTCGCAGGGTTTTGCCCCTGACATGTTGCATTTGGATAACAATTCCATGATTTTCTCTCTTTGTGAGATCCGGAAGCCCTTGTCAGTTTTAATTACTTGCACCCCTAGGTACTTGTCTATCTTCCCTAGTGACTTCAGAGAGAAATGATTTCCTAACTCAGTGGCAAATTTATCGCATTTGGTCCTTTGCTTCCCTATGTACAATATATCATCCACATACACAAGAACACCTTCGAATGCTCCTCCCTCTCTCTTTGTGAAAAAACATTTGTCTGGAGAGGTGGCTTTGAAGCCCATGGTGTTGAGAGCTTTGGCTAGACAGTCGTACCACCTCTTGCCAGACTGTTTGAGTCCATATAAACTTTTGTTCAGGAGCCATGTGTTGTCCTTTCCATCATTGTATCCTGGTGGGGCCTTAACATAGATTTCCTTATCCAATTCTGCGTGTAAATATGTGGTTTGCACGTCGAATTGGAATACTTCCAGCCCTAGGATGGTGGCAATTACTAGGGTGCTCTTGACACTCTCAGCCCTGATTGTGGGGGAGTAGGTGTCCGTGTAGTCTTCTGGGTACCTTTGGGCGAAGCCTTGTGTGACCAACCTCGCTTTGTAGAGTGTTTTGTTGTCTTCAAGTGTTTTGACTTTGAACACCCACTTGGTCCCAATTGGCTTTTTGTTCTCAGGTACTTGAGCTGGCGAGTATACCTGTAGGTCTCGGAGTCTCTCCATCTCCTTTTCCATGGCTTGTTTCCACCTTTCCCTCTCTTCCCGGGGGAGGCTGAGTATCTCTTCATAGGAACTGGGTGTGAAATGCTCTGTGTGTATGGACATGACGTAGTCCTCTAGTCCCTTTGGTAACTTGTTCCTACTGGATCTAGTTGGTCTGTCTGAAGGCGTATCTGCTTCATGCAGGCATTCGGCTTCTTTTTCGGTGAAGCTATCTAGGTTCAGTGTGGGGTGTCCTTCTTTCCATTCCTCGGCTTTCAGTTCTTGGTGTTTGGGTCTGTCTGTTTCAGTTTCCTCTGGCCCCCTGGTGGTCAGTTCTTTGTCGCTTTGGTTATGTGGTTGCATGTCTCTGCCAAGGAAAATGTCATTGCAGTGGAGCTTTGACCAATTCGAGTGCTCATGGAATTCCGCAGACCTGGATACAATGAATTTGTTATTGCAGTCCACAAATCTGAATCCCTTTGTCCCAGGCTCATAGCCCACGAACCTTAGTCTTTTTAACACCTTTTCTCCCTTCTTCCTTAGCTGTCGGGGAATGGGGACGTCAGCTGGGGCACCAAATAGGTGTAGGTGGGCTAGGTTGGGTTTTCTATTGTACATTAGTTCGTATGGGGTTTTATTGATTGAGCTTGACCACAACCTGTTTAGTGTGTAATTTGAATAGTGTAATGCCTCTGACCAGAATGATTGGTTCATTCCAGCATCCTCCAAAACACACCTCATCATTGTTTGGAGTAGGCCATTTTTTCATTCTGAGATCCCATTCTGAAATGGGGGAAAAGGGGTGGAGCTAAAATGCAATATGCCCCTCTCCCTTAACCATTTTGCAAAGTCCTTGGCCATGAATTCTGTGCCCCGGTCAGTCATTATCTGTTTGATTTTCACCCCATGTTGCAGTTCCACCCTTTTATAAAAGTCTTTGAACCTTTGGAATGTCTCATTTTTATGCTTGAGAGAGTACACATAGCCATACCTGCTGTAGTCATCTACTATGGTTAGGAAAAACCTTTTCCTGTGTCCAATGGAAGGTCTCAGTGGTCCCACTAAATCCATATGTACTAGCTGAAATGGGTGGTCAGTTGTGCGCTCTGACCATTTGGGCCTCACTTTGACCTTAATTTTTGAAGATTTACACACTGAACACTCCAAATAATTTTTGCAGTCCTTTACTTTCAAACCCTCTGTACATCCTAGCATTTTTTCTACAACCGGGAAACTGATATGTCCTAGTGAAGGAGGTGGGCACAATTGTCGTGGGTTTTCCACGGATACCTTGTTTTGCCTGGTGACACAGTGTTTGTTTCCTCCTGGGGTCCCCCTCTAGTTTCAGTGTCTCCCTCCTGCTCATGGGTGATGCTTGTGTTTATACTTCCCTCGCTGTTCTCACTGGGTGTAAAGTACGGTAATCCATCATGTGTGGTTACCTTGCCAACCCTTTTTCCTTGGTTGAGTATCTGTACCCTGCCTTCCTTGAATGTTACCTCTGTGTCTGTGTCTGTTGTGAGCTTTGCGATGGCTAAGACATTGTGGGGTATTTCTGGTATGTACAGTACCCCCTCTATTTTCCCAACCCCTGGTATATGTACATTCCCTCTCCCTATGACCTTGGCTGTGCTCTGGTTAGCCATTCTGATCTTGAAGTCTGTCTCTACGAGGGAGGTGAATAGATTGGGGTTGTGTGTTGTATGATTAATGGCTCCTGAATCCAGAAGCCACATGTTCTCATCTGTCCCCTGCTTGGGGTCTGCTTTACCATGCCTGAAGCTGTACATAGTCCCTGGGTTGCTATCTCTGGAAGCATCCCTGTGTTCACTGCTTTTTCTAGGGTTGGGTGACCACCCACGTCCCCGTTCCCTGAAATGTCTGCGGTCTGGTGACCATCTCTCTCTATATCCCCTGTCCCTATCACCTCTGGGGCAATCCCTCCTTAAATGATTCCTGGACCCACAGGAGAAACACTCTGGGGCAACCTTTCCCCTGTCCTGGAACTCAACCCTTTTGGTGGGTCTGGGGTCCCTTCTTGACATGTGGCGGTCCCTCCTTAAATTATCCTCTGCAATAAGGTGGTTAGTGAGTGTGTCTAATGTTAAGTGTTCTAGACTGAGGCTGTCCAATTGCATCACAAAGGTGTCCCAGCTACTGTCTAAAGAGTTTATGACTATACTCATCATACTCTCCTCAGTGATTGCTTCACCCCTATGTATTAATTCAGTCCTGGTTGCGTTAAGTTTTAACAGGTGTTCACTCATGGGGACCCCTGGTCTAAGTCTGGCAGAATGGAATTCTCTGGAAATCCTAGTTGTGGTTGCTCTACTTCTGCTGTAAAAAAGGTTATAAAGTTTTTGTATCACTTCATGCACTGTCATGTGATTCCCTATGCTTGGGTACATAGTTGGAGAAATACTGGTTAACAAAATACAAAAAGCCCTGTGGTGGTTACAGCCAATTTCAAAAGTCCAGGGTTTTGGGGTGGATCTGATATTAGGAAAAGTAAGTTTTCTTTCATAAAAACTATCTGCAGCTGTTGACTCCACTCTAGAAGATTTTTTCCATCTATTTGCAGTTTGGGAAAGTTGACAGGTAAAGCCCCAGAATTGTTAGAATGGTTACTTACAGAGGGTAGCTGTCCATGGTTTTGTGAGCGAGGGAACTCACAATATGGCATGGGAATGGTAGATGCTATTCTGTACTGACTTATCTCTATGTTCCTCCCTTCTCTTCCTGCAGGTGGCGTCTGGGCATGTGCGAGGCCCATTTCACGCTGGAGGCCGTCCGGAGAGGAGCTCATGGCTGCAGGTCTCAGGCCTAGGCCTAGGCCTGCTGGTGGAGCGCTTGACTCACCCCTGGTGGGTCTGGATGCATCGTAGGACCCTGGAAGTCGCTGCTGGGCTGTGTAGTCCCCGGTGAAGAATGGCTGGAGGCTCGGGATCGAAGCAGTCTTAAGTCAAGGACTTTTGAGGATCGGTGGCACGGCGGCGGCGGCGATGGCAGCGATGGCTGGTCCTGATCCGGATGTGCTGGCCCCTGGTCAGTTGGAGAAGCCTGGTGGGGGTCGTGGAGCAGGTAAGTAGCTGGCATGTCTTTCTTCTCTTGGATCCCTCGTAGTTAGTGAGGTAGGTGGTGAGTTCGAGTCCTGCCTTTGTTCTGCTCCATAGGCGGTTGGGGTTTCTTGTTCGTCGTGGAAGCACGTTGGCCCCTTTTGTAGTGATAGGGTTGGTGTCTCGTAGCCGGTGGTCACTCTGGTGCCTTCTTGGCCTTCAAGGTTTTCCTTGCAGCTTGCTGTTGGTGCGGGAGGCTTGAATGTGGAGCCAAAGGCTGCCGCTAGAGTCTCTATTGCTTTCTCTATCTCGAGCACGCTAGGCAAGTTTTGATTTACTTGGATTTGTCTATTGCAGTTGTTTTCTGGATGCTCCCCATTTGTTTTGGGGTCTTGGTGGTTTCGCGCCATTAGGTTTAAATCCTGGCTTCCCATTGGTTGCTGGCCATTCCAAGATGGCCACCGGGAAATTGGCACGAAAATGAGCCCCTCTATGTCCAGGGCCTCTGCGAGGGAATCCCTTATCCCTTACTGGGCTGGTGTCTTCTTGGGTCTGTTCTTGGGTGTCATCGCTGCTCCATGGGTTTCTAGGAGGCCTTGGAGTTTCGTGATGAGCTCTCCATTGCTGATGGGCGCTTCCATCATTTTCAGCAGGGCCATTCTCAGTTCGTCTTCTTCTCATGGCTCTTCTCTTTCATGATCATCTGCTTCCTCCCGTGGTCTCTCTTTACAGAGGAATGGGCCTGGCTCGATGTCCTGTCCACTTTCAGCTGGGGTGGCTCTTGGCATGGCACCTTTGGGTGTCAGTTGAGCAGCCATCCTCTTGGTGAATGCCCTGGTGTTTACTCTGCTCTTCTTACCAGAGTAAGCGGCTTGTTCGGTCATTCTTTAGAGTTATGGGCAACCATCCTCTGCTGCCAATTTGTTAATGCTGGATGGATCTAACCCAATAACTCACAGGAGACAATGGTATCTCTTCATTGATTCTTTATTCTACGCCTGGAGTCCTCCTAGGCCCAATTCAGGGTAAAGGTCCCTGACCTCTGACTTGTCTTTGCAGGTACACATCTGGAACTGCTGGATGCCCACGTGTAGGACCCTTTTATACACCAGGGGAGGAGTCTGAGGTAAGTGGGTATGATGGGATATGGGGAGGTGCCAGCCCCCTGCCTGGGAGAATTAGACATTTACCCTGACAAAACCATTTACAAAGAAAAAACATCAAAATGGATATAGGTAAGATACATTCTCAGTGCTTCCCAAGATTGAGCTTAAATATTTGCTTTGTTCATGGAAGCTTGAGAACAGCTAAAAATGAAACTGTTATCTACCATTGTATTGAATGCTTTATTGCCAGCACTGTTTTCTGAAAGAGAGGCTTTTCTGAAGGTTAAGGCTTATGGCAAATTACTAGCAATACATTTGAAAAAGCAAATTTAAAGTACAAGACACCCCATTTTAGTTAGCCTGTGCAATACTACTACAAAAATTATGTTTCAAATATTACAAAGGGCCTGTGTGGCCCTCACTCAGCCAATTAACACCAGCTCAGCTGCTGTCTCAGGGGATAGGCTCATCTGTGTTTGGGTGCTTCAAGGCTGGCTCAGCAGCAGAGCCGCTTCAGCTTTTCAAAGGCCCACTGGCATTCAATGGATCAATTTAGTGACTGACTCAGTTTGGGCTTTACTCCCCCTCCCATCTTGAGCAAGTTGATGATGGGCAAGGCTATCTGGGCAAATGTGGGGATGAACTGCTGGTAAAAGTTCATGAATCCCAGGCAGCTCTGTAACTGTCTCCTGATTTGAAGGGCCTCCCACTCCAGGATTACTCTCATCTTGGCCGTGTCCATTTCCACCCAATCCTTGGGGATGCGATATCCTAGATAGTCTAGACTGGTCTTATGGAAATCACATTTAGATAGCTTTGCATATAGCTAGGCTTTGCACAACTTCTCAAGTACTGGTCTCACTAGCCTGATTTGCTCTTCCATGGTCTCGGTATAAATTAGGTTGTCATTTGGGTATACCAGCACCCCTTTATACAGGTGTTCATACAGGACCAAATGGCATTTCCTGAAATTTGTAGCAACCCAGAGGGCAGTTGAATGCAGTTTTTCACTCATCCTCCTCTTTAATCCTCATTCAGTGATAGGCTTCCCTCAAGTCCATCTTAATAAAGATCTTCCACTTGGCTAGGTAGCCCAACATGTCCTTCATGAGGGGGAGGGGATACATATTCTAAAACAGAGATGCAATTTAATCCCCTGTAATCCATGCATAATCTGAGATACCCATCTTCTCTTTGAAAAGTACAGGGGCAGCCATCCTTGACTTTGCAGGCTGGATAAATCCCCTGCTAAGTTTTTGTCTATGAACCCCTGAAGTTCCTCCATCTTCCTTGGTGTCATGGAATACACCATCAGCTTGGGTAATTTAGCCCCAGCAGGATTTCAATAGCAGAGTGTGTGGGTGATGGGGACAGGAGCATGTCTGATTCCCTTTCAATGAATGCCTCTGCTAGATCACAGTACTCAAATGGAATGAGTGGCTTTAAATCCTCGCTCCCTTTTAGTGTATTCATTGACTCCACTTTCACTTTCCTAGCTTTCAATTTGTGCCTGGCATTTGGCATTTTCACTGGCTCCTGCTAACTAGTCACTTTCTGCCTAAGTCGCCACTTGTTGCTGTCCCAATCTACTTAGGGATTCCATTTCTTCAACCAGGCTAGTTGTAGGACCATGGTCTCAGTCATTCCAGGAGCCACAATAAAACAAATAGTCTCTACATAGGTCCCAGCTCATTGCTCCATCAGGCAAGTTGCTGGTGTCCCTCCCATAAGTGAGCCATGTAAGTCAGAGAATCCCATGGGCTGCCTTAACTTCCTCAGCATCAATTTCTCCATTGTCTGAAAACTAATTAGGCACTGAGTGCACCCCAAGTCCAAGAGGCTTGGTTGCTGGAAAGACCCTGAAAAATGGAAGGCTGGTTGTTGATCTGAAATTCTCCCTTCCCTTAGAGGATGGCTGAGTCTCCATCTGCTCCAGAAGCATTGGATGGGCAGGATTGGCTCTGAGCAAAGGGCTGAAAAATGCTCTTCCCTGCAAGAAAGGTTTTGGAGATATACATATGTATATGTATATGTATATGTATATGTATATGTATATGTATATAATATACATATACATACACACACACACACACACACATATATTACACAAACGAACATTTAATACATCAGTCATTCCTTCCATGTGACAGCTCGGTGTTTTCTGCATGGCTTCATCTTTTTGTTGTTTCTTCTGTCTTCATTTTTACCAAATCTATTAAAGCATTTCAGTACAGTATTCTAGTTATACCATTTTCTTACATAACTATTAATTTGCTTATCTATATCTCTTTTCTAACCAATCGTAAAATTGATCCCATATGTTAAAATAATCTAAATCCTCTCTTTCTTTGATCATCAAAGTTAATCTATTCATTTCTGCACAGTCTAAAATTTTTTTAATTAGTTCTCCTTCCAAAGGTATATTTTCTGCTTTCCAATTTTGTGCAAAAGAAAAACCTTGCAGCTGTATATATACATGTATAATCAAATAAATATTTTCTTAATTTAATAATTAAGATTTATAATTTATTTTAGTAATTTAAAAAAAAATTTTTTTTTTGATTTATATGCCTTCTCCGGAGACTCAGGGCAGCTTACAATGCGTTAAGCAATAGCCTTCATACTTTTGTATATTTATACAAAGTCAGCTTATTGCCCCCACAAACTGGGTCCTCAATTTACCTACCTTAGAAAGGATGGAAGGCTGAGTCAACCTTGAGCCTGGTGAGATTTGAACTTACAGTAATTGCAGACAGCTGGTGTTAATCACAATGCTATTAGTCTGCTGAGCCACCAGGCCCGTTTAAACATTTTTGCCAGTTTCTCTGGGGGCATATGCCATCTGTAAAACATTTTATATTGGTTTTCTTTATATGCAGTGGACACTGTTAGTTTATAATTCCTTTCCCATAACTGTTGCCATTTATCTAAATCAATTGAATATCCAAAATTCTTTGCCCAAGCTATCATTGTTTCTTTTACTTGTTCTTCCTTTAACTCAATCCCAAGTAAAAAATTATAATTTTTTAAAATTAATTTGTCCTCTGTTCCTGTGAGTATCCTATCCAACTGTCTTTTCTAAGTAAAAACCATGTAATTTAGCATCTTTTTCATATCTTGTTTGTATTTGCATGTACATATACCAATCCATCTCAATCCCCTGTTCTTCCACTTCTCATTTCCCCTTCAGTTCCCCCTTATCTGTTAATAACTCCTTGTATCTAACAATGTTTCTAAAATTAAAAATATTTGGGTGTATTAAAGCTTCCATTGTTGATAAACAAGTTGGTATTTTCACATAGTATTTCTCTCTAACTTTCTCCCATACCAATAACAATGCGTTCCTTATATAATGTCTATGAAAGTATGTACGTATCTTACTTCTACCATACCATAAGAATGCATGCCATCCCAATTGTAAATCATGGCCTGCTAATGTTAATAATCTTATATTTCTTAATTCAACCCATTCCTTCATCCACATCAATGCTGCTGCCTGGTAATATAATTCCCAATTCGGCAGTCCAAATTCTCCATGTAATCTCGTATCCTGTAACATTTTTATACTTATTCTTGCTTTTTTCCCTTGCCATATAAATTTCCTTATTATCTTATTACGGTGTTGAAAATAAGTCTTTTCAATTTTTATCGGTACTGTCTGGAATAGAAATAATAGTCTTAGTAATATGTTCATCTTTATTATTGCAATACTTCCCATAAATGACAATTGAAGGTTTTTCCATTTCTCCAAGTCTTTCTCAATTTGATCTTTTAATTTATAATAATTATCTTCTTTTATTGTTGCAGATCTTGACGTTAAGTATACTCCTAAATATTTAACTTTTTTAGCAACTTGTATATCTAATTTCTCTTTTATCTCTCTTTTTTTGTTTTTCTGTCATATTTTTCACCAAGATTTTTGTTTTTTCTTTGTTTATTTTTAGGCCAGACACCTTTCCATAACTCTCTATTTGTTCTAATAATTTAGGGCCTGTTATTTGAGGTTCTTCTAAGATAAATACTAAGTTGTCTGCAAAAGCTTGCAATTTGTAGTCTTCTTTTTTAATTTTCATCCCTTTTATCTCTTCATTCCACCTCATACTTCTATTTAAGACTTCTAAAGTCAAAATAAACAACAATGGGGATAAAGAACATCCTTGTCTTGTACCCTTCATAATAGTAACATTTTCTGTCATTTCTCCATTCATCATTATCTTAGCAGATTGTCTATCATAAATTGTTTTTATAGTATTTATAACTCTCTCCCCCAAATCCATTATCTGCAATTGTTCTATCATTACAGACCGAAATCGGTCTGTAGTTTTTTATCAGTTGTAGATCTGCATCTTCTTTAGATATAAGTGTTACGTAAGCCTCCCTCCATGAGTTTGGCATTCTTGCCTTCATTAGAAGTTCATTAAATAATTCCAGCATTATGTTGCTCATCACTTCTTGTAATGTTTTATATAGTTCCACTGGTAGACCATCCGGGCCTGGTGCTTTCCCATTTTTTTGTCCTTTAATCGCTTCTGTTAATTCCATCATTGTTATTTTTTCTTCTAACATTCCCTTGTATTGTTCAGTTATTTTAGGTAAATCTGATTTTTCTAAATATTTTGCTATCTCTTCCTCCAAAATTTCCTCTTGGTAATAAAGTTTTTCATAATATTTTTGAATTATTATCTTCTTTTCTTCATTTCTATAGTGTAGGTTCCCCTCTTCATCTTGTAAGTGTTTTATTATTTTCTTCTTTTCTTTTTTTACGTTGTATGCTAACCATCTTCCTGGTTTATTTGCATTTTCAAAGAAGTTCTGTTTTAATGCTCTTACTTTATTTGCTAAAAATTCTTGTTCATTTAAATTTATTTCATGTTTTTTCAATTCCATTAGCTTCTTAATTGTTTTATTTTGAATATCTTTTTGGAGCTCTTTCTCTAAACTCTTATAATCCTCTTCCAATTCTTTCTGTTTTTGTCTTTTCCTTTTATTCTTTTTTCCCAAATACGTTATTGCCAGACTCCTAATATAGGCTTTCATCATGTCCCATACATTTTGAAGTGATGTTTTTATTTGCTTTAAAGAAAAACTCTAATTCTTTTCTATAAACTGTTGAAAGTCCTTTTCATTTAATATTGTTGCATTCAAAGTCCATCTTGTCTTTTTCTTTTGTCCTTTCCATATTACTGTCATTGGATTATGATCCACCCAAATATTTGAGCAAATATTTACTTCTTGTATATTATCTATAAGATCTGTTGACATCCAAATCATATCTATCCTTGACCATGATAAATATCTATTTGAATAAAAGGTTTATTGTTTTTCTTTCATATGTTTTTGTCTCCAAATATCTTGAATACTCAATTCTTCTATCATTGTAAAAAAGGATTTCGGCAGTATTTTTCTAGATTTTTTGTTTGTCTTCATTGTTTTATAGTCCAAATCCAAATCCATTACAGCATTGAAATCACCCATTATATATATATATATTCATAGTCCAATTCTAAAAATTTCCTGTGTAATTTCCCATAAAATTCTTCTTGTTTTTCATTTGGTGCATATACCGCTATCAAAAGTATTTGTTTAAAGTTCATTTTCTTTCCACCATCAGAATCCTACCTTCTTCATCCTCAAAAAGTAGTTTAAGTTCTAATTTTTCTTTAATATACAGAGCTACTCCTTTTTTACTTTGCTGTATCAATGAAGCAAATAAGACTCCTAATTTTGGATATTCTATTATATGCTGTTTTCTAATGTGTACTTCTTGAGAAGTTTATTACTCAAATTGCTAATAAAGTTGCAATGTTGAAAGAGGAGGAAGAACAAAAAGCGCCTGAGGAACATGGAAAGGATGTTTTTCAAACAATGAATAAACTGATGGGCTTGAAGGAGGTTAATCCGGAGATATGGAGAGAGATCTATCCAGAGATTTTGACGCAGATGAGAGGAAAAATGCTGGGAGAAGTTTGGATTTTTTTTTTATTGAAAAGTTTTATAAGAAATACAAACAATTTTCTCCCCCCCACCCTTTCTCCTTCCCCACATAATAGAAATTGTACATTTTCTTATACATAAGAAATCCTACATATACATGTTTCCCTTAAAGAAAGCGTTAAAATAAGACATTTTAATTACATTTGGAGTTGCTCTTCTTCTCTTTCTTCCCTCATTCCACAACAAACCTTCTCCTCCTCCTCCTTTCTTTCCCTTCCCTCCCTCCTCTTCTCTCCTACTTTCTCCTGCCTCCTCTCCCACCTCATCCTACTTCCTTTCCCTTTCCCCCACTTCTCTCTTCTTTCCCCCCTTCTCGCCTTCACTCCTACTCCTGTCCCCTTCCCTTTCTTTCCTCCTCTCCTTTCTTCCATTCCTCACCCTTCCTCTCCTCTTCCTACCCCCTCCTCCTCTCTCCTTTCTAACTTCTTTACTGTGAAATGTTTTCCTCCTTTAGTGTCTGAGCAACTCCTGTATTCTACTCATAGAATATACCGTATTTTCCGGCGTATAAGACGACTTTTTAACACATGAAAATCTTCTCAAAAGTCGGGGGTCGTCTTATACGCCAGGTGTCGTTCTCCTGTAACCAGGCAGACCAGCCCGAAAGGCTCAGACGAGCCTTAAATGGCTCTGGCGATCCCAGCTCTGGCGATCCCAGCTCTGACGATCCCAGCTGAGTTCCCTGCAACTCAGCTGGGATCGCCAGAACCATGGCTCTGACGGTCCCAGCTCTGACAGTCGATCCCAGCTCTGACGATCCCAGCTGAGTTCCCTGCAACTCAGGGAATCGCCAGAAACCATGTAAAAGAAAAAAGTTTTTTCCCTTTTACTCTGACGATCCCAGCTCTGAGGATCCCAGCTGAGTTCCCTGCAACTCAGCTGGGATCGCCAGAAACCATGTAAAAGAAAAAAAGTCTTTTCCCTTTTACTCTGACGATCCCAGCTCTGAGGATCCCAGCTGAGTTCCCTGCAACTCAGCTGGGATCGCCAGAAACCATGTAAAAGGAAAAAAGTTTTTTCCCTTTTACTCTGACGATCCAAGCTCTGGCGATCCCAGCTGAGTTGCAGGGAACTCAGCTGGGATCGCCAGAACCATGGCTCTGACGGTCCCAGCTCTGACGGTCGATCCCATCCCACCTGAGTTCCCTGCAACTCAGCTGGGATGGCCAGAGCCATGTAAAAGATAAAAAGTTTTCCCCCTCCAGCTTGCTTACCTCAGCTGCTAGTCCCAAGGCTTGCCTTGCTTCGCTTGCCTGAATCTATTCCATCAGCAATCAGCAATCAAGCAAGCAGGGAGTTGTGGACTTCAACTCCCAGAATTCCTCAGCCAGCAAAGCAAAGCTGGCTGAGGAATTCTGGGAGTTGAAGTCTACAAGTCTTAAAGTTGCCAAGGTTAGAGACCCCTGTTCTATTGGGTAAGTTTTTTTCCCCTTTGGGAGCTTTAAAAAAAATAGTCAATTGGGTTTTTTTTTAGTTGTTCTTTTTTAGACCTAGCCATTTAAAGTTTAGGAAGTTTTAAATTTAGCTTTCATATAAAAATAAAAATAAAATAAAATAAAATAATATTTGTGCAGCTTTCTGAGATTTAGTGTGTTTCTGTAGTGTTTCACTCTAACTACACAAACACACAAAATCTCACAAAGCTGTATGTGGAATTTTGTGTGTGTAAAGTGTGAAAGTTGGTTTTTTGGACTTTTTGTGGCTGTGTGAGGTTCCTGCTTGTTGCAGGGGCCATTCTAGGTCTAGCACAGCTGCTTTTACATTGTGGGTGAGCCAGTTGTGTTGTGTTGTGTGTGTTTAGAGTGTGAAAGTTTTTTGGGGGGGCTTTTTGTGGCTGTGTGAGGTTCCTGCTTGTTGCAGGGGCCATTTTGGGTCTAGCACAGCTGCTTTTACATTGTGGGTGAGCCAGTTGTGTTGTGTGTGTGTAGAGTGTGAAAGTTTTTTGGGGGGCTTTTTGTGGCTGTGTGAGGTTCCTGCTTGTTGCAGGGGCCATTTTGGGACTAGCACAGCTGCTTTTACATTGTGGGTGAACCAGTTGATGTTTTTTAATTTTTATTTGGTGTGCATTGGAAGAGGGGTAGTCTTATATGGCGAGTATAGCCCAAACCCTATATTTTAACAGGAAAAGTTGGGGGTCGTCTTATACGCCCAGTCGTCTTATACGCCAGAAAATACGGTACTTTCTTCTGCTAAAACATTTCTCTATTCACCACTTTCCCCCCCATCCCTTATCCCACCCTCCCCACCCACCCCTGACTTCCCAGAGCAAAAATAGGGTATAGCATCTAACAAACATATGCTAAAATAAACTAACAAATTATAAAGTTCAAAACTCCCACATGTTCTTTAACTCCCTTGCTCCAATTCATCAACCTCCCTTTTATAAATTCTCAAAACCAATTAAATTAAATTCATTCTTCCTACTTATAAATTTTTTTTCTTGATGTATAATCCGATACTTTAGCAGTCTTACAAACAGTAAAAATCATGAATAAATTCCATTTCTATACCCTCGAACATCATTCTTTTTGAACATTACTCCCTAGTGAAATTCTGAGTTTAACATTAATCCTCTTCCTTCAAAGAGAGAAAAGAAAGAAAAAAAAGAAAGAAAAAATTTTCATCTTAAAATCTTACACATTTTATCTCATATATCTTTTAAAATAATATAGTCTTATGTTAAGCATTTTAAAAATCTCTTAATACCTTTGAAACACTTATTTACCAAATATAAATTTCAGAATCTACAGGAGGATGTCTTTCAAATTTTCAATTAACCGTCTTAATACCTCTAACTTTTTAGAGAGCAGCCCTTTACTATCCAAAACTAATCATCATTTTGCAATAAAATTCTGAACTAACATTAATCCTCTTCATTTCAAAGGGTTAGGCATCTTAAAAGCTTATACAATTTATCTCATATATCTTTTAAAATAATATAACCTTATGTTAAACATTTTAAAAATCTCTTAATACCATTAAAACACATATTTGCCCGATGCCAATTTCAAAATCCACAGGAAGATATCTTTCTTAATCTTCTGTTCTTCTCTTCTTTCTATATTTTTTCCAATCCTTTTTTTTTATAAATTCTTTCAACAGTCCCCCCAATTTTATTCTTGAAACTTTTAAAATGGTGATTTGAGGTTGATGTTTCTGAAATACTCGCTCTCTTCTTGAGGTCACGTTTTCTAACTTGAAATCCCCATTTCGTCTCTTCTTGCTTGTATAATCATTCAGTCCATTTCTTTGTCCATATAGCCAAAATTTGTTGGCATAAAAATTGTCAGCTTGCAATAAAGAAACTATTTGTTGCTTTTCTGTCATTTGAATGGAAACATCCACCAAAATCTTTGTTTCAACTGTGCCAGCCAGTCTCTTAATCCTGTCCATCTCTTGATCTTCCAAAAACAAATTCCTCTGAATAATTTCCTGCTGTCCCTCTAACAACTGCTTATATTTTCCCAAGCTGTTTTTTGAAAAAGCCCTTTCAATTGTATTCAACAGGGCTGAAGTAAAAGAGTCTAAAAGTTCTTGAAAAGCCTGGACAGTCACGGCTTGGGAATTTGCTGATTCACCAGCCCTGTTGTCAGCCATATTTCAGCCACTTTGTATTCATCCAGCTATCAGAACAACAATTCAACTCTTTTCCACACAGTATAAAAACCAGATTTTAGTTAAAGTCAGTACCAAATTCTTTTCCTCAATACCAAATTCTTTCCATGGACGCTTCCACTTTAAAACTTTCTCTTAGGGTGTAATCCAGTAGCTATATCACTGTTGCAAATGTTAACAAGCCTTAACAAGCACTTTCCCTGGTAGTTTCCTCCTCCCGCCCTCAGGCGCCATTTTCTGCATTTTAAAACTGAGTTAAAGTGTTACTTGCAAGTTTTCCTTTTTGTTTTCTCCTGATTTGCTCTGTCTGTTATCAAAGTAAAGATGTTAAAAGCCCCCCCCCATTGATTTTCAGCAGATTTTGGTCGCAGCTTCTAGCTCTGCTTTTGTGGAGTCGTCCCTGGTCCGGAGCAGCTTGACAGGCTTCTATAGGGAGCCCTCGCCCTTTGCGCCCCAGGATTTCTCCTAGCGCACTTGCGGGGCTCTACCTCTGTCTGTTGACTCTTCTCTCTCCCCTTTGCCCGGGGAGAGGGTTCCAAGCCTCCAGACAGCTGTTTTTCGGCTGTTCTGGGGCTTTTACAGAACCAGGGATTGGGCGCTCATAAAAGAGCGTCTTCAAAGCTTGCAGAGCCAAGCGGAAGTCAGAAGTGAATCGGAGAAGCTTGGATTTTCAAGATATCAAGAAGGATTAGAAATGGAACATTACAATTTCTCTACAAAAATGGATTTTTAATCCTATTTAAAGAGGTGTGTTGCTTAAAAGGAATTACTTTGCGAGCTGCACAGGACTGGAAGATAAAATTACAGTTGAATACACAAAAGCTTGTAAAAATAAAAGATGGTGGAATAAAGCGGAAGAAGAAGGCTCGGAAAAAAACCAGGGGGAAATGGAAGTGGAAGAATTTTATTCCTCTTTGTTAGGCAGGATAACACGGTGAACGATTGTATTGGTACTCAAGATTTTTACTAAGGATATGATTTGTTTGGTTTTGAAAAAAATTTTTTTCTTTACTTATGACTGGGTGTTTCAACTGTTATAAAAATGGATTTTTAAAAAAGAAATTTTCTTTTGGATGTTAAATGATTGGAGGTTTCAACTGTTATATAAACGTGAACAAGGATATGATCCTTTGGTTATGATTGGATGGATTATATCTAAAAATTATTTTAAATAATGGATTAAAGGAGAAATTTCCTTTTGGATGTTAAATTCAAGGCTATAGATTTTTCAATATATTTTCAAGGGCTTTAAATTGTTTGTTTATTGTTGAACTAATTGGGATTAACTACCTTTAAGCAAGAAAAGTTATATTTTGTTTTGAACAAGGAGAGTTAAAGTACAAGTGATAGATAAATATATATGCTTTCTCAGGTTTTCGCGGGTGTTTGTATGTAGGTCTTTGGTTATTCGGGTCTTCTCCCACGTAAAATTGGAAGTGTCTTGGCGATGTTTCGACGAAGTCTCATTTGTCATCTTCAGGCTGAGAACACCAGCCTGAAGATGACGAATGAGACTTCGTCGAAACGTCGCCAAGACACTTCCAATTTTACGTGGGAGAAGACCCGAATAACCAAAGACCTACATAAATATATATGATTTTTTGTTTAAGATGTATATTGACTATGAAATAAAAGTTTAAAAAAAAAGTAGCGAATCTGGCAGAAATGGCGAAGATTTCAGCATATTTGAAAGATCACTCACAAGAAAGATATATATCGGAATGGAGAAGATGGATTGATTATATTCAAAACAAATATCGGACTAAAAAGTATCAAATAGCTTATGAATGAATAGAAAAATTAAGAGTATTTATGTTTAGTTAAGTAAAAGGGGAGTTAAAGTGTGAAGGGGGGGATAGGAATCCTTAGTTCATCATGGTATATATGCTTAGTTTAGCATATGATTGTTAATTGTTATACCCTGTATTTTGGTCTGGAAAGTTCAGGGTGGGGGTGGGGGTGGGGGTAAGGAAGGGGGAATGGGGAAATACTTGTAATTTTTTTTCTTTTTTTTCTTTTTGTAAAACTCTTTAATTAAAAAAAATGGGTTTGTTTGGAAAACAAGTCAGTAATAGGTGTTTCCCAGCACCGTCTGGCAAGTCCACAATAAACTCCATAGAGATTTCTTCCCAGGGGTTCATGGAGTTGACCACTGGCTGTAGCAGTCCTGGGGACTTGCCCGGAAACCATTTCATTTCATGGGGCGGCTGACTACATAAGCCTCTATGTCCTTCTTCATCTTTGGCTACCAAAATTGCCTCTTCACTAGGTGAAGAGTTTTTACAAATCCAAAATGTCCTGCTGCTCAAGACTCTGCTGTAGGATTAGAGTCCTCTGGCTAGCTGGGACATACACCTTACTCCTCATCCATGCCAGTCCCATGCCAGATCACCTCTATGCTGTTGGCCCCATTCATCGCCTGCCAAAGCATCTCTCAATGGTTGTGATAGATCTTTGGCTGGTTGCAACGGTGGTGTCCTCTGCTGCCTCATGAGGGCTGGAGCTGCAAACTGTCTGGATAGGATGATGGAGTTAACAACCTCCTCTTGGGCACTGTTGTACTGTGGCCTCCAAGAAAGAGTGTCCACTAGGAAAATTTCCCCCTCCCCCAGTAGGTTGTGGAGGGTCAAGTTGAAATGGTTGAAGTATTGAGCCTACCAGATTTACTTAGGTGACAATTTTGGGAGGAGGGGGTTTCAATGCTTTCAGATTTTTATGGTCTGTCCTTCTATGGTATGAGAAAAACAGGATACATGGATGCTTCCAGAGACATTGTGTAAGGAATGGCTTATTAACAGTATGGAAGAGAGTGAAAGAAAAACATTATATGGAAATACCAATGTGTCTCTCGGCTTGTCGTTCGTTCAGAACTGCGATAGGAAATAATCACCAGTAACGCACAGAGAATCAGGGTTTACTTTGGCAAAGATAAGCTTGCAGTCAAAAGTAAAGTACAAGTCGGTGTTTTGGTTCAAAGTCAGTGCTGGGTGTAATCACACCACAGCGCTATTTAACAAAAACTCAGCCCCTTAAACATACATCCGGTGATTATCAATCAAGCACCCCCCCCACTCCCTTAACAGTAACAGCTGCGAGCACCAGAGCAGCGAGGACAGCAGAATCGGAGAGGCCCAGCAACGTCATCAATCATCACCCTGAATGCTGCTATCCAGGAACTGTTTGTGTGTTCGCTGCGGCTGCTTATCTCCACTCCTTCGTCTCCCACACCCCCCATCGATGGCGAGCTCCGGTAGGACTCGACAGGCGGCCCCCCCCTACCAGGAGCTCACCTATAAATAGAAAGCATACAAATGTTAGTCACTGTTACAATCCTGCATTAGGTTTGTCTGGGTATTTCCGATGGAACCATTGTATCAATCGGGCAGCGTGAACATCGGGTGCTGCCACCCACGAGGCCTGTGTTACAGGGTATCCTTTCCACCGCACAAGATATTGTAACATCCCCCTACGAACCCTGGAATCCAATATTCGGTCTATCTCATATTGGTTGGTGTGCACGGGACCCGGTGGAGTAGTCGAGGTACCTGGCCTTTCTATCGTCACCGGTTTCACCAAACTGCTATGGAATATGGGATGTATCCTACTGAACAGAGGGGGAAGTTTAAGAGCTACGGTTACGGGATTGATGACTTGTGTTATGGGAAATGGTCCTATATATTTAGGTCATAATTTTTTACTGGGCAGTCGGAGTTTAAGGTATTTTGTAGATAAGTATACTTTGTCTCCTATCCGGAATGGTTTTGGATCAGCTCTTTTCTTGTCTGCATATTTTTTGTACTCGTCTGCTGCCTTTTGTAATGCTGTTTTTACACTTGGCCATACATGACTAATTTTATCGGCCCAACCGCGTGGCATGTCACCGTCTGTCATAGGGGGATCTAACTCTGGAATGGCTGAAAACTCTCGGCCATATATTACTTGGAAAGGGGAGAACCCAGTACTGCGGTGGGGTATGTTGTTATATGCCACTTCGGCGAAAGGCAGGAGTCCTGACCAATTCGTCTGCTGGTACGAAACGTAGCATCTGATATATCTTTCAACCATGGCATTGGCCCGTTCAGCCGCCCCGTTAGTGCTCGGGTGGAATGCTGAACTTAACCCTTGAGAGGACCCAATTAAACGGACAAATCGTCTCCAAAACTTAGAGGTGAATTGAACACCGCGGTCGGATATAATCCTCTTAGGTGCTCCATGGAGACGATAGATACGTTGCAAAAAGAGTTCGGTTAATTGTCGCACGGATGGTATGCTTTTACATGGCACAAAGTGGGCCTGTTTCGAAAACAGATCTACCACCGTCCAAATTACAGTGTGGCCATGGCTAGGGGGGAGATCGACTATGAAATCCATAGCGATCTCTTCCCAAGGCCTGCTAGGATTCGCGACTGTCTGTAATAGTCCTAACGGTCGTCCAGACCAGGGTTTGGCGGTTGCACAGGTTGTGCAACCTTTTACGTATGTTTCTATGTCCTTACGCATTCGTGGCCACCAGAATTGCCTCCTCACAAGGTGTAGAGTTTTTAAATACCCAAAATGGCCTGCTGATTTGGCATCATGGCACCTGCATAACACTACATTCCGTAAATGTTCTGGAACATATATTCTATTCTCCCCTTTACCTGGGGCCAGATGGTAGCCCATTTCACGGCCTAAACAAGGTCCGGGAGGGAGCGGGGGCGGGGGGAGAGAAGGGCTGGCATCAATGCAACAGGAAGAGAAACCCCTCCGCCGGCCACCAGCCCTTTCTCCCCCAGTTCTTCCAGGTAAAAACCCCCAGTTCTTCCTGGTAGCATAACCCAATGCCATGTCCCAGCCTCCAGTACTTTCCTCGGAGGCCTCCAGGTCCTCTGCAGCCGCCAGGATCTTCCTGAAGGGGTCTCTCACTCACTACCCAAAGCCAGAAACAGGCTGCTGGAATCCCCTCCGTCACTAGCCCCGCCATCAAGGCCACCATTGCCTTCATCTCTCACAACGCCTCTAGCAACGCTGCTAGCAACGCCGCTGCTGCCGCTGCCGTCGTTCTCTCACAGCCGGTAAGCCACCTTTCTCCCTTCTCAGCTGGGACGCGGCAGCAGCGCGGTTGCAGCACGGCTGCAGTTCTCCATTCGGTCGACTCCGGGTGAATCCTGAGGGGTGAGAAAGGTCTCAACACGCTCACCCCAGTCTCATCCAGCCAAACGGGGGGTCGTTGATGGTCAGGACCCCCCTCGACTCCCCGAAACGTCCAAAAACGCCCCCATCTGACCGCAGCACTCAGGGAGCGGCTGCCATCTTGCGCATGCTCAAATTTGCAAAAGTGGTTCTCAACCTTCCTAATGCCGCAACCCTTTAATACAGTTCCTCATGTTGTGGTGACCCCCAACCAGGGGTGGGTTCTACATTTTTTTACTACCGGTTCTGTGGGCATGGCTTATTTTGTGGGCATGGCTTGGAGGTCATGTGACTGGGTGGGCATGGCTAGCTGGTCATGTGACCGGGTGGCCATGGCTATGTGTATAGGGACTACTCAGAGTGCTGAAAAAAGTCATTTCTGACAGGTCCTCGCACTTTTGACTGGTCCTCACACTTATGACCACATTTATGCCTGTGCAGCATTCTTAACAACCATGTCACTCATTTCACAACTGCTTCTCTTCAACATGGTATAAGATAGGGCAAAAAACCGTAAAATGTGAGGACAGTCGTAAATTCGAGGATTGGTCAAAAGTGCGAGGACCAGTCAAAAATAACTTTTTCAGCCCTCTGAGTAGTCCCTGTGCACAAAAGGACTACCCAGAGGGCTGAAAAATGTGATTTCTGACAGGTCCTCGCACTTTTGACCGGTCTTCGCAGTTATGACTGATCATCATTTATGCCCATTGTACCATTCTTTTTTTTTTATTGCAAAAGTTTTACAATTACATTTTCACCCCTTTTCCCCCCCCACCACCCACCCCAAACTTCCCAACCTCCCTAACCCTCCCTAACCCTCCCCTCCCCCCAGACTTCCCTATATTATACTCATATCTGGTAAAGAAAGATGAAAAAAAAGAAAAAAAAACCCCTTAATATAAAACTTGTGTAAAAACTTGAACCCCTGCCTCCCCTTTATAATTTTTCTTTTTACCTTCGTTCCATTAAAATATTTCTAATACATTATTTTCAAATAAAAGCTATTTGATACTTTCTAGTTTGATATTTGTTCTGAACATATTCTATCCACCTTTTTCATTCCCATTCATAAGTCTCTTGTGAACAGTCTTTTAAGTATGCTGAAATCTTCGCCATCTCTGCAAAACTGGCCATCTTCAAAGTCCATTCCTCAATAGTGGGCAAAGCTTCATTTTTCCAATATTTACCTATCAACAATCTTGCTGCTGTTATCATATACAATATCAGTTTTGTTTCACCCGATGTAAAACCCTTAACTATACCCAATAA